AGGCCACTATGCTTGTGGTAAGAGGCGACTAACGGGATCGGGTGGTCTGGCTCGCTGAATTGGTTGATGGATGTCATCGTATCGTGGATCGATGCTTATGATGTCAGTCACTGGATTGCCTAGTCCAAACTCGATTACTTACAGGCCACCGTCATATAACTATATTATTGCTGAGTGCGCGTATAACAACAAACAAATTAGTATGGATAATATTGGTCAAAATTAATGGCAACGATTCAAACACAAATAACGTTTAAAACTGCTCTTGTGAATGTATGTAGCACACATATATGAAGTAAACTAATTTTGATTTTTATAATTAGTACACGGCTGTGGGACAAACATACTATTTATTATCCCGTTACATATACAAATTACATACGCATGTAGCGAGGGAATTTGTGGTTTCGCTAGACAAGTACACAGAAACTTGAATTATTCATTAGAGTTTCCAGCCGTTTCCATTTACAAGTGAAACAGTCACAGTTTGCATCAGAGATCAATTTCAGTACAATCGCAATCCCCGAGAGTGAAATCAGCGGCCGCTGCCATACCGCCTCGCAATTGGTAGATATCGGCGATTTTGTTATGTACAATTTCATGAAGTCTACAGAAGAATGAAAGACGTATCTGTTCATTTGCATGTGTCGACACTATCACCAGTAGTTGTGTGGCCTCTACAAGACCGCCTACGTAACTCCATGTTGACGGAATCATCTATATCTGTAGATATTTGCAAACAACCTCGTGCGACCGCAAGTCGTGACGTCAGAAAACCGGTTATTTCTGGCTTCTGGGAGGGAATTACATATACGATCGTCTGCTCACGCTCTAGCGCAAATACGCCAATTGATGGTCGGAATTAGAAGGAGCGCTGATTAAATTTGATCAATATCCTTGTACAAACGATTCAACAAATTTTCTGCATTTATTCTTGAAGCTGGGGGTAATAAACGGCCATAATCTAGAGGTGGTCTTTTATGGGCTTTGTTCGGCTTCTAGGAGGTGCAACACGATCGATATGGAGAATATTTCGTCAAGCTTCCTGAAATGGTTATGATGGACTCTGCTTCTAAATCGGGTTATTATCTCACAACGATGCAGGCTGGTTTATTCATACTGGTTTGGGTACAATGTATTCATGGGACAGAGGTCACGGAACAGTTATGGGTCACATGATAACTCCAGTCGGGATTTATCGCCCAGTCGTGACGTCACGTCTCTGTGACCTATTTATGAGGTCGGTCGAAAAGTGCAGTGGCGTAAATCAGTTTTGGTTGCAATACTCCACCGGCCGTTACAAACACTGGTCAAACGTGATGGATGGATAGCTGTGTCTGGATCTCGGCAAATGTGTGTTAAGCGAGGTTCTTGTAATATCTTATTTAACCGGCTGTTAATTCAGCGAGAGTGACCGTGATCGAGGGATGTAGGATTTAGAATGGGGTCACGCGAGTACAATGTCCGATTCTGCTCCACCTACTTCAGTGAATAAAACGCAAATAGTTTGTTTGGACAGTTTAACCTAAATGAAAGATTGCGGTTAATGGTTGTCTTGTTTGTGGCGAATAATGTACAATGGTATCGGCATTAATTTAAATAAAAATTCAGATTGCAACATTTGATAAATAAATACCAACATGAAGTATTCAGATGGGGGTTGCGACACTCCCTCTTTCAGACACCTGACGAGAGAGAGAGAGAGAGAGAGAGAGAGAGAGAGAGAGAGAGAGAGAGAGAGAGAATACAAAAGTCCAAACATGAACTGTATAATTTACTATATAAAATATACATACACACAAAATATAAAATCCAATCCAAAAGGAGCACATAGGTTATGCTGAATAGAACTGAGGCAATCTAGACTTGCCAAGTTATTCTAGACTTGAGTTGAATTCGAATCTTAATTTATTCTTAAGGGTCTAAGACAGAATATCATCACAAACATCGATTGCTGACCAAGCGGAATGATATAATTATACTGATAAGATAATAGCACATACTTGGCATAACATATGTGTTCATAATTATCATTACTATTTATACCCTGATAGCATGACATGGCTATATCAGCAGTCCACCTTAATCGTGGGTGTGTGAGTGAATTCTATGATACGCCCATGTAATGCTATCGTCAGTAACTAAACAACCCCATCAGGATCCGACAGCATCAGTCAGCAGCGGGTTCGTTTTTAGTTATTTGTTTCCCGAATAACTAAAAACATTCTTGCCGCGTATTCAAAGGCTGTATACTAAACAACCACTATAAGTCAATATAATTGTTTCATGTATAACGCCACACTCAGACATTTTCCAGATACATGACGCCGGTCCGTAAATATTCGAGTCAGGACAAGACAATCTAGTGATTGACATCATGAGCATCGATCTACGCAATTGGGATAGATGACATGCATCAACCAAGTCAGCGAGCCTGACCACCCGATCCCGTTAGTCGCCTCTTACAAGCACAGTCGCCTTTTATGGCAAGCATGGGTTGCTGAAGACCTATTCTACCCCGGATCTTCGCGGGTATATCAGTCTAATAAATCATTTAGTATCCATGTATATGAGAGCAGGGTGTCTAACGTGTGGTTAGTTGTTGAGTAGCTAAGAATAACTAAAACCCCACCGGCAGCGGCTCGTTGGTGACTTGATTGTGTGTCGTCCGATCCGACGGCGAGGGACGTTGTTGACACTATTAATCACCGGATTGTCTGGTCCAGACTCGATTATTTACAGACCGCTGTCATATAACTGGACTCTTTTCACTGCTGTGTTAAACAACAAACAAACAACAAAGAAAACACCCAACGGTCTGTCAGTCATCCGCGGATGTAAATACTTTTTATTCCCTTATGTACGTGGGTTTAGGTTCTGTCCGTCTGTGTAATGTACCAGCAATTAACGCCACTCCGGCTGAAATTTACATGCCTGTATGTCGCCGCTCCTTCAACAATCAACATATCGGCAGCTACCGACTGTATCACCGATCACTCATTGTGTCATCTGTTTACGGTCTCAGCTTCGTGTTAATGATGTTTATAAGTTATAGGATAACAACGTGATTTCTATTTATATAAACTTGTATATAACACATGCCGTGTACAGAGAAACTGATGATATCATATGTCGTGTTGTTGAAAGGGAATGACGTAATTTTTGTCCGCCAACAACAATAAGTATACATCTCACTGTTGTCGACATACACTCTAATCCCTCTCCCTCCCACCCACCCCCCACCCCCTCTCTCTCTCTCTCTCTGTCTCTCTCTATGTCTACATTTGTCTATATGCCCGTGTCTGTGTGTGTCCATATATCCGTGTCTGTGTGTGTCCATATATCCGTGTCTGTGTGTGTCCATATATCCGTGTCTGTGTGTGTCCACATGTCCGTGCCTGTGTGTGTCCATATATCCGGGTCTGTGTGTGTCCATATATCCGTGTCTGTGTGTCCACATGCCCGTGTCTGTGTGTGTCCACATGCCCGTGTCTGTGTGTGTCCACATGCCCGTGTCTGTGTGTGTCCATATGTTCGTGTCTGTGTGTGTCCATATGTTCGTGTCTGTGTGTGTCCACATGCCCGTGTCTGTGTGTGTCCACATGTCCGTGTCTGTGTGTGTCCATATGTTCGTGTCTGTGTGTGTCCACATGCCCGTGTCTGTGTGTGTCCATATGTTCGTGTCTGTGTGTGTCCACATGCCCGTGTCTGTGTGTGTCCACATGCCCGTGTCTGTGTGTGTCCACATGCCCGTGTCTGTGTGTGTCCACATGTCCGTGTCTGTGTGTGTCCACATGTCCGTGTCTGTGTGTGTCCACATGTCCGTGTCTGTGTGTGTCCATATGTTCGTGTTTGTGTGTGTCCACATGCCCGTGTCTGTGTGTGTCCACATGCCCGTGTCTGTGTGTGTCCATATGTCCGTGTCTGTGTGTGTCCATATGTTCGTGTCTGTGTGTGTCCATATGTCCGTGCCTGTGTGTGTCCACATGTCCGTGTCTGTGTGTGTCCACATGTCCGTGTCTGTGTGTGTCCACATGCCCGTGTCTGTGTGTGTCCATATGTCCGTGTCTGTGTGTGTCCACATGTCCGTGTCTGTGTGTGTCCACATGTCCGTGTCTGTGTGTGTCCACATGCCCGTGTCTGTGTGTGTCCATATGTTCGTGTCTGTGTGTGTCCATATGTCCGTGTCTGTGTGTGTCCTCATGTCCGTGTCTGTCCACATGTCCGTGTCTGTGTGTGTCCATATGTCCGCTTGTATGCATGTGGATCCAAAGATCCACGTGTATGTATATGGACATCGACCCATAATATATCTTCCTTGAATGCCATTTATATTTTGCATAGACAACTCAATACAATCGAGTTCACTTATCTCGCTCGTGCACTATCAAATACATGTTGCCACGTGCCCAGAACAGCGGATGCAAGTCAAACAGCAGTATGCTTTCTTCACCTATCTACCTGCGCTGGCCGTGTCTGAGAGCCCTATCGTCAATGTCATTGTTGTCGGTGTCAATGTCAGGTTGCAGCTCCTGTAATGATGTAACCACCAGCAGTGTGGCCATCTCATCGCCGCGTCAAGTAGCACGTATTTCACTGCAGGATAAGCGCTGCGTTCCATCTCAGGTTGAGTTCAGCCCTATATTTAGCAGCTTACATCTAAGTATGCGCTATGTACACGCCCAACTGTTAGACAAACACTTGCTCGAACCAGCGTGTCTACAGGTCGCGGGTGTGTGCCTCGAGTGTACGTGCGCATGTCCTTGTATATACACACCCACTGCTGGGAAATATACACCTATCACGAAATGTCAATTTGTGATCGGCACAAATACTTTGGGAGAAGTAGACAGAAATATATCAAAGCAAATGTGTTCATTGACAAATTAAGTCACGATAATTTCCCATGCACTTAATTCTCAAAGTACTTTTCTGTAAAGTACAAATGCTACCAAGCTAACATATAGTCCAGAAATAAAGTTACACTGAAGGTTTAATAATCACAATTCTAAAGCAACACCCCTGTCTCTAAATTTCAGAGAGCTAAAAAGGGGATGAGAAGAGGTTGCTGGAACTGAGGAGGGGGTTGTAGTGGAACTGAGGAGGGGGTTGTAATGGAACTGAGGAGGGGGTTGTAGTGGAACTGCGGAGGGGGTTGTAATGGAACTGAGGAGGTGGTTGTAATGGAACTGAGGAGGGGGTTGTAGTGGAACTGAGGAGGGGGTTGTAGTGGAACTGAGGAGGGGGTTGTTATGGAACTGAGGAGGGGGTTGTAGTGGAACTGAGGAGGGGGTTGTTATGGAACTGAGGAGGGGGTTGTAATGGAACTGAGGAGGGGGTTGTAGTGGAACTGAGGAGGGGGTTGTGGCAGAACTGAGGTGGGGGTTGTAATGGAACCGAGGAGGGGGTTGTAATGGAACTGAGGAGGGGGTTGTAATGGAACTGAGGAGGGGGTTGTAGTGGAACTGAGGAGGGGGTTGTAGTGGAACTGCGGAGGGGGTTGTAGTGGAACCGAGGAGGGGGTTGTAATGGAACTGAGGAGGTGGTTGTAATGGAACTGAGGAGGGGGTTGTAGTGGAACTGAGGAGGGGGTTGTAGTGGAACTGAGGAGGGGGTTGTAATGGAACTGAGGAGGGGGTTGTAATGGAACTGAGGAGGGGGTTGTAATTGAACTGAGGAGGTGGTTGTAGTGGAACTGAGGAGGGGGTTGTAATGGAACTGAGGAGGGGGTTGTAATTGAACTGAGGAGGTGGTTGTAGTGGAACTGAGGAGGGGGTTGTAATGGAACTGAGGAGGGGGTTGTAGTGGAACTGAGGAGGGGGTTGTAATGGAACTGAGGAGGTGGTTGTAGTGGAACCGAGGAGGGGGTTGTAATGGAACTGAGGAGGGGGTTGTAATGGAACTGAGGAGGGGGTTGTAATGGAACTGAGGAGGGGGTTGTAATGGAACTGAGGAGGGGGTTGTAGTGGAACTGAGGAGGGGGTTGTAATGGAACTGAGGAGGGGGTTGTAGTGGAACTGAGGAGGGGGTTGTAATGGAACTGAGGAGGGGGTTGTAATGGAACGATGAGGGGGTTGTTATGGAACTGAGGAGGGGGTTGTTATGGAACTGAGGAGGGGGTTGTAATGGAACTGAGGAGGGGGTTGTAGTGGAACTGAGGAGGGGGTTGTAATGGAACTGGGGTGATTGTTTTATCAACTAGATGTATATGCCTGGGACCTGCAAGAGAGACACAACTGCCGTGTGTAAATATCTACATGTAATCCCCGTACAACATGACGTCAATAGCAATATTTCTAATTGCACGGCATTCGTTGCTTTGGTCGTACATAGTTATGTAGCTATCATCACATCTACAACATATTTAACACACAGATACTCTGATAGCTACTAAAAGCCCGGCCAAAGGAAAGAGCACACTTAAAAAATGGATTTGAACAAAAATTACAAATGTTGTCAAAACGTTACTAGGTTGAAAACAGTCGCCGAAACACTCAAATTTAGATCCAAAACACTTCTATGATACCCGTATCCCGATTGCGTGGATCGATGCTCATGATGTCAATCACTGGATTGTCTGGTCCAGACTCGATTATTTACAGACCGCCGTCATATAGTTAGAATATTGCTGAGTGCGGCGTAAAACAAGTAACCAACCAACCTTTTGGTGGGAAGACAGGTTGGTTATTTATGAAATCTCAAATATGTCAATAAAACATACAAATACACTTACCTATGTATCGTATAAATGGGTATAGTATGCAATCAATATGTTCCAACCTGAAGATTGACTGGACTGCTTGGTTTCGGAAACAGAAAGATGATATTTGCAAAACCGAATCTCAGCACAAACACGCAAATGCTAATTAGACTATAGCAGCATCACTTGAAATAGACACAAGAGGTGCCTAAGAAGAAAAAGATATTGGAAGAAAATCATATTTTGATATAATACTTCAGTTGAACAATTCTATACATTGATAGATATAGCTACATATGAAGATGCTCATTTTATTATGTTAAGTTGTTCGATTTTATATACGTTAAAAATGATTTCTGAAGATTCCTACCGGAAATACATGTGAAGTAGTACGTCTTGGAAGGAGTGCTAGCTACATCTGGCTGTGCATCGCCTATATTTAGTCAAAAGTTTCGAAGGGCGGGTCACTCGAGCAATTCACTTTTGGTAGAAGTAGGTTATCGTGAAAACCTTGTATATTTTAAGCGAGGTTTGACGTCAATAGAGCTAAGTGGCCATTGCTGTGGGTGTCTGCGTTGTATAATGCTGTGGTAGAAATACACCCACGTCGACATGTCTGCAGGATGTATACATGTGGCAGCAACGGTTTACCTACACCAAAATCAAACATAGTCTCACCGAAAACAGCAAAGACAAACAAAGGGCCCCAGACCCTCCGTTTAAAGACGTATCTCTGTGCATAAACACCCTCCTCAATATAACGAAAATGGGTGAAACAACCAAACATATATGGGTGAACTATTGAAAACACCCAATATGAACATATATGGTGTGGTGTATGAACAGATTATTTGCCCACAGATGAACAATCCACGTTGGTCTTTTGTACTCGGCGGACGATGTCACGTGACCTGTCATGGCCCGATGTGTGTTGTCAGTTTCAATACAAGGCGTGTCGGGTCCGTGCAAGGCAAGAATGTAAGGAATGTATCACGACTGTCCCACTTTTCAACGTTTTCTGCGTACATTTCAATTCAATCATGTTATTTACTATATTATCTGCATTCATGCACAATGACGGTTGTTAAATCGTGTCATGGTTTCATATAAACAATTTGTATAAATATGGTTAATCGGAATTCTTGCTTTTTTATAGAACTTGTTTGTTTTTCCAACGTTAATAGTTTAGTGTGTTATCCTGTTCGACAACGGCCATGAATTAATACATATAAATACAGTAAACTACGGTTATAACGAACTCAAAGGGACTTCTAATTTTAGTTCGTTATAACCGTAGTTCGTTATAAGCCTATATACAGCATATGTACAACAAATGGCCGGGACTAAAATATAAGTTCGTTATATCGGTCAGTTCGTTATTAGCGTGTTCGTTATAACCATAGTTTACTGTACTGGACCCTGATCTCTATAAAAAATTTAACCTTCTGTCATGTGCGCAGTTTAAATTCCGGGATAGTGTTGGCGATAGAAAAGGCAAATTAAGCCACAGATGTTGCGGGAGGGGGATGGGGATGGGGATGGGGATGGGTGGTGTAATCCCCCCACGTATGCGTTTTTTAGAAGCTGAAGGAAGGATTGTATATAGAGCATGTAAGTAAACTGCCGATGTTTCATGGTGGCTAAAATGAAACAAAGAATAAATGGTTATTTTGAAGGTGATGCAATTTATGTGATACGGGTATCATAGTTGTGTTGTTTTGACGCCTGCTTTCATCCTTCTAACGTTAACATTACGTTTGTAATGTTTTGGTCCAATCCAATTTCCAAGTGTACACTTTGTTTTGCCCTGCAGTTTATTCAGCATTTTACTTAAGTACATATATCTGATATTCTTTACAATGGTGAACCATTCAGAATAGAAATCAACTGATTGTTTGAGAAGCCGGCGGCAAAACGTTGTTTATTCTTTCAGTCCCTGGTTGTCCTGGATCAGACTCCATGCTGGAACATAAATCACTACGGTGTTAAACAACAACACAGTGTTACTGTAATTTGATTGCCTATATGGAGATTTGATCAACGCAATAACAAAACGTTTTCTTCATAAGAACTATTCTTGTATTCAGGGGCATGGGTGGCCCAGTCGTCTATGGCGCAGAAATTCGCCGTGCAGAGTTGCGCCCCTTTGACACGCCAGCATCCTATGATCGCGGGTTCGAATCCCGGTTCGTTCCGATTTCGTTTCTGATTATGTTTTTGATTATGTCAGCACCATACCCGTGGGTTTCACCAAAGTGGTAAACGTCTAAGACCTGCATTAATCCAGGCTTTCGTCCCACGTGATACGCCTGGAATACTGTTAAAAGCAGCGTTAAACCAGACTCACTCACTCATTATTCTTGCATTCACCGCCCTGCTCTGCCTTTCCGTCGCCCTGCTCTGCCTTTCCGCCGCCCTGCTCTGCCTTTCCGTCGCCCTGCTCTGCCTTTCCGCCGCCCTGCTCTGCCTTTCCGTCGCCCTGCTCTGCCTTTCCGTCGCCCTGCTCTGCCTTTCCGCCGCCCTGCTCTGCCTTTCCGCCGCCCTGCTCTGCCTTTCCGTCGCCCTGCTCTGCCTTTCCGTCGCCCTGCTCTGCCTTTCCGCCGCCCTGCTCTGCCTTTCCGCCGCCCTGCTCTGCCTTTCCGCCTCAGCAGCTTCTTATCCTGCATGTCGTGTTTAACTCAGCTTTTTAAGCAAGACTATCAGTCCCCCCCCTCCCCCCCTCGAAAAAAACAACCCAAAAAAACCCATGGCTATATTCATTGAATATATTATGCGTATTTGGTAAAAAGAAATAATGTTATGTTTAACAACAACATAAACAACAACAACAACAACAACAACGTAATAATTACTATCCCCAGGCAGTTACTTTTTACATGAAAAACCATTATTGCGAACTAAGCACTTTTGCCCTCTGCCACACTTAATTGCAGTCGTGTACGTGCATTACCCACGCCAGTGTACAGATACTGCTGACATCAGCCAAAATGGCGTAACAGGTGTTTGTGTGGGAGTCTTTTATAATAAATACATCACGAAGATGAACTATACCTGACAGCTGTTGCACATGTATAATTCATGTAATTGAATCAATAAGTGAAATATAATTGTCTCTGGGAATTAACCGAAATGACATGACTTGTTTTGTTCTTTAGTGTTTAAACACACATGCTAATTATAGATTTGCTGTTCGTAATGATATACTATTTACTTGACAATATTTCAACGGTACAATTTATAATTATGAATGAAATGAATGAAAATGGCATGAATAAATGCCACGTGATATATCCCTGTCAATCTGTTCCAAAGCATATGTCCTTGAAATAGACAACACAGATTGCAATATAGGTGTTATTGTGGAAGTACTTTATAACACTAATGGTCACATGATACATGAAATGTACATTTCGTGATGGCTATTTACACGGAATGTTGCAGGTGCGCCGGTGCAATGAACATGCTTGTCTATAGAAGCACGAGGAACACGGATTCCCACGCGCGAGCGTCAGCTGTGGCGGGATGGTCGGTGAAGGGAGAAGGGGTTGGTGTGTATCGGCGACAAGTCGGCAGGGTGGGGTCTGTCGGTGGGAGAGAAGGGTCGAATCACCGGGTGGGAACGGGAATCAATTGATGGGTCTCGATACTTAGACATATACCAAGATGGGGGAGCGGTACAGATGGCGCTGTGTGGTAATAGTTCCCACGGTGCAACAGGTAGGTGGGGGCATTAGGTGCGAGATAAGTTGTTTCACACGAATTGGGGAAAGGCATATGGATTTTAAAGAAGTGCGGACGAATCGATTCTTATCAGTCGCAGCAGTGGAGTGATGAAAACATGCTTAGGGGATCGGGATGGGTGTTTCATAGTTCAAAAATATTTTATCATAAATATTATTCTGAATTTCACATGCATTTAAAAAAAATGTTGAAACCTTATATGATCGTAATTATGTAAGACCAGTGATTACACAATGAAATCGATAAACAAATTAAAGATGTTGAAAGTCCGAATCATTCATAAATCAAAATCAGATTAACTCGAGTCTCAAGTCTTTTATGGCGCTGTTGCTTCTCAAGCGCGGTTGGTGCAGTTTGTCCCAATTGTACTGACAAAATCTTCCTACTTGATAAATATTTGTTGAATAAAAAATATTTAACTTACTGATGCATATTGTGTATTTTTGTATTGTAAACTCGTAAAACCGATGCTTTATTTAATTCAGCCAAATATGACAACATTCCTCACTACTATATTTGGGACATATCGCTTATCTTTATTATCAAAATCAGGTCACATATCTTGAGAATATTTAGGTCTGCCATGCTATCGACACGTGCCAGTCAACCACTTGACAAGTAGATCAGTGTGACTGCAGTCGAGCATGTACCCTTTGTTGTTGCCTGTAGTTGAGACGAGACCCTTGAAGATCCGGGGTAGAATAGGTCTCCAGCCACCCATGCCTGCCCTAAAAGGCGATTGTGCTTGTGGTAAGAGGCGAATAACGGGATCAGGTGGTCAGGATCGATGACTTGGTTGAAGTGTGTCATGGTATCCCAATTGCGTGGATCGATGCTCATGATGATGATCACTGAATTGCCTGGTCCAGACTCGATTATTTACAGACCGCCGTCATAGAGCTTGAATATTTCTGAGTGCGGCGTTAAACAAACAAACAAACAAACAAAGTAGTGGCGATGCAGATGATGATGACGACAACGGTGGGTACTTGGATGGTTATGATGATCATGGCGATCGTAAGAAGTATGACCAGATGACCAGATGACCAGATGCCATTTGTAACTCACGAAACAAGCTATCTCGCAGAAAGGCGCGTTCCTTCAAACGCCGAGCGACCAACATCCCAGGGTTTCGGGTCGCCAGTCCAGTGAACCGCTCAGTTGGTTTTACCACTTTCATAACAAAGTTAATCCCCGCATGAGTCTTGCAAGAGTGACGGAGAATGTGGGGTGAAATACCAGCGATGGGAGTGGGGCAAGCGTGAAGGAGATGAATGTTGTGCTGGAATCAGATTGGCCCAACGGGGTTGAGTAAGCCAGACCTGGGCCGAATGTTAGTAGTTGGTATATTCATGAGTTGGTCATGTGGTAAGCGTTTTCCGGATCCATCAATAGTGCGCGTGTTTTTGCTATGACGTCTTCTAGCTGCTTTCATTATTCCGATGTTAACAACAGCGTGCTGCATGCGACATATTTACACTGGACTAAAAATCAAAACATTGTAATTCCGCTGCTTGTCTTGTAGAGCAGGTCACCCTTACCCTCTTCGCGAACACCTGCTTTTTCAGCCATCAATTCACATAAGTTTCACTAACACTGTTTGCCTTTGCGCCAGATGGATCTGTTTCGGAGGACAATCGAGACTAGTTATTCTCTGCCGTCGACGTCATATATGTAATAAAACGCTTCTTAAGACATAGATAGTATATTGCTTTCTTCAAAACGACAATATATCAGATGACCAAATCTCACATTTTCTATATTCATAGAAAGAAGAACATGTCACTGTCAAAATGTCACAAAATAAAAGCACACATGGCCATGTTAAAACAAAACATGATGTAAACTTCGTAATATAACTAGTCTGAGTAAACGACCGTCTTAAGATCACCAACGAATAGGCACATTCCACTGAGGACCGCTCCCCTGACTTCCCGCTGCCCGCCCCCGGGGTGGTGAAGGGCCGACCCAGACAGAGAGATGAGGATTTGGCCCACTGACACAGATCAGTCAGGTCAGTCACTCGGGACATCCGATCCATTCACCTCAACATTTCACAAGTCTTCCCCTAGAAGTAATGATTCATATAGAACTCACAGTTTTATCGCTCCCTTTTATAGAGAAGGGATAGGCATTTAACCTGGCCAGGTCTATATCTGTATGCATAATTATCTTCATTTATAACCCCAAACAAATAGTAGCACCGTGTGTACCGCGTGACCCGGCATTTATTCTGTAGATGTTAGTTGCTTTTAAACCCCCCCCCCCCCCCCCCCCCCCCCCCCCCCCACCCCTCCTCCAACACCCCACCTCACGCCAGACCTAACCCGCCCCGTTATTTAAAACAAACAAAAGAACGAACGAGAAATAAATAAATAAATAAATAAATAAATAAATAAATAATGTCTTTTTACATGTAGGACTAACATACAGTCTGATATATTTTGTTTTGATGATGATTTCATATTGTTGAATAGAGCTGGTGAGACTTGATTTCTATAATCTGGATAGATTTGGTTTCATAAAATACATGTATTCCACAGTCATGGTGCGGGACTAGTTATATATGTTAACTGTCACATATAGAAGGTGTGATGGGATAAAGGTTTTGAGTTATACAAAAGCTAAACATCTGATCGAAACAGTCGCCACCCCATAGAATTATATAGCTGACACCGCACAGTGTCTATTGGAAGGGGCCTGTCTATGCGGAAGTACACGGGAAGATATCTGGAAGTACACCAAGGAGTGCTTCACGAGATCATAAAACAATCCAAAAACGTAAGAACGTGAATTCTTACTGAGTTTTTTCTGGTTAAGTACTTTAACATTTGATAATAGTGAAATAAAAATACGTCAGTTTGTTCGGTTGTTTCCAGCGTAAACAAAGAACGATATCTTGTGATCAAAATATGAACGAATGCCTGTAGCGAGATAGACTTGAACAGGTCTTTATGGCAATAATTATTAATTGAAATGATAATGTTTAGATTACATATATAAAAACAAAAGTTGTCCCTGTTAGAGACTGGCGTCCTTGTACTGTCCGCTTATCTAGACTTGCCTATTAGGAGGCTAGAATTACAGTCTTGGAGCAAGGCTAGTAGTAAGAGTATGCCCGTAAAGATCAGGGTTCGCAATCAGTAAATCTAATACCTCGAGTAACTGAAAAGTGATACCGCTAACCCAATAGAAGCAGTACATATAGCGTGGAGGGTCTACTGGAAATGAACAGAAATTAGAAATCACACGCGCAAACCTGTAATCATCATCATCATCATCATCATCATCATCACCATCACCATCACCACCACCACCACCACCACCACCATCACCATCATCATCATCATCACCATCACCATCATCATCATCATCGTCGTCGTCATCATCATCATCACCACCACCACCATCATCATCATCATCATCATCATCACCACCATCACCACCATCAGCATCAGCATCAGCATCAGCATCATAATCCATTCATTCATTCATTCACTCACTCACTCATTTACCAGAAACCACTCACATCGGTACCATGTATAAGATACAATGGAAAACGAATCGAATATACTTCAAACGAAGGGCCAGTGTTACAGCAACACATGTGAGACACCAATATGTGGCGTTAAGGAAAGGTTTCAACAATCACAGGTGCAGTAGTGCTAACGTACCTGATAATTCAAACTCTGAAAACCAATTTAATATTATACTAAGACCTTCTAATATTTTATTATCATTATTATCTGTACAAAGAATATGTGTAATATGTTGACATACATCCACATAGAATGTAATGCCTCGATCTATATCTTCCATTTGTAAGTCTTTCGTCATCATTGGAGCTGTACGTGGGCGGTCATTCAGAAAGTGATTAAGTGGGAGAAGCCATGACGAGTGTGTCAAAGTTCACACGTTACTGTGAGCCCGACTATGCCCACTGTGTGACTGCGAACCACCCACCTTCCGGTATATTATGCTACAAGTTCCGATCACACTTGTCATGTCACGACAATAGTCATGCAGCATGACACAGTGCTATCTTCAGAAATACCAAGAATGTTCATCATTAAAATCTTGACTTTGTGTGCTGAACTTTGTGATATTCAGATGATTGAAATAGTTGACCTTTGAAAGACATACTCACAAAAATATAGTTGGTACGTAGTCACAGTATTTAAAATTACCTAAATCAAATAAAATGATCAGGTAGTTGATTACGATGTTAATATTTAGTTTTGATTTTGGCCCATTTGTTCAGAAATACCCAGAACGATTTGAACTTCGGTACAGACAGATGTCAAACTTGGCCACTGGTGAGTGTGCACGTGCTACACGCACAACGCATGCAGCACGTGCACGTGGTGTTAGATGCGCTTGGGGCATCCGTACTTGAACTAATATGTAAAATTTGTCTATCATAGATGATACTGGTAACATTATATGTACGTGCTTCAGGCCGTCTTGTCTCCTGTTTTCGCGTGGGCGGCGTTAAGAAATGAATCACTTAAGGTATTATGGTCTTTTTGGATATGAACAAATATCCGTTTCTATGGTAACAGAATGAAATTGACAGCCAATGTCATAACGGAATCAATATGACAAGAATGTCTGTTTCATATCTAACTCAGTTGGACATGGTAATGGTATGGGAAATAGCTTATAAAAGTGTTTTTTGTTGTTGATCATGTCATATTTTGGGAGTGACGTTTCTGTACAGTTAGGAACGGATGGGACACTGAATGAAAGCGTCATGTTTTACGTCATTGAGAGGAAGTTATTTCCGCGCTGTTCTGCATGGTAGAATACGTTTCAAAGTGAACGTACAGTCTAACGTCGATGTGAAAACAATTCGTTATTGACATTGCCAACTGGATATGAAAGGAAAACCCGAAGTATGTTAGGTCCTAAATTTAGACATTCGACGCTTAGGGGAAACCCGCGAGCACATGTATGGCGCGGACAAACCTAGAAGACTGGGCCACCAAAGGGCGTATGTGAAAAGTATGAGGTCATATTCATATAACAGTTGAACCATTTTCATATAACAGTTGAACCATAGTCATATAACAGTTGAACCATATTCATATAACAGTTGAACCTTATTCATATAACAGTTGAACCATATTCATATGACAGTAGAGCCATATTCATATGACAGTTGAACCATATTCATATGACAGTAGAGACATATTCATATGACAGTTGAACCATATTCATATGACAGTAGAGCCATATTCATATGACAGTTGAACCATATTCATATGACAGTAGAGCCATATTCATATGACAGTTGAACCATATTCATATGACAGTAGAGCCATATTCATATGACAGTAGAGCCATATTCATATGACAGTTGAACCATATTCATATGACAGTAGAGCAAGCGATTAATACTTAATGCCAGTTCCCGATTATTAGTTGGTGTCGGTAGAATCGCATCCACCTATGTAATGTGCCTTTTTGTGCGACATATATAATATGTTGTTGTTGATGTTGTTGTTGTCGTCGTCGTCGTCGTCGTCTATAGTTTAACACCACACATTCCAGCTATGTGGCGTCGATCTGTAAATAATCGAGTCTGGACCAGACAATTCAGTGATTGACATCATGATGACATGCATCAACCAAGTCAGCGAGCCTGACCACCCGATCCCGTTAGTCGCCTCTTACGACAAGCATAGTTGCCTTTTACAGCAAGCAAAGGTTGCTGAAGGCCTATTTGACCCGGATGGATCTTCAAGGGTGACATATGTGATATAAATATATGATACACATGGCTGGTTTAATATAATATGTCATAACTCCTCTGGTTTTAATTGTCGTACGACGCCATCATGCCTGAAGCTGAAACATCACCTTATTAAACAATGTAAGGTGATTTGTGTATGACTTATATCTCCTAAAAAGGGATTTATGTACATTGGCAAATTTTACGGATTGCAATGAGTTTTAAACATGGGTAAATATTGTAGTAAAATCGTTTGATTCTTGAATGATTCACAGAAGTAGAAATCATTGAGAAAATATAGCATCAGCATTGTATTTGAAATCAACTTGAATCCCGTGTCTCACATAACGGTATTACTTGACCTGTTTGCACAAAACAATACTACTTGACAAGGAGTACAGCCTATATATGTTACAAATAGATCAACACCACCAGCAACTTATTTCTTTACGATAACAACCTTCGATTGTATCTCACCTTCTGAAACCTACTGAGGGCGAGTATTAAAAATTCAACACGTCATGAAAGGTATCATTTAGATTATCTAGTCCCATTGTCATCCCCATCAAGTCCCTCCTGCGACGGTTTCCTCCCAAACTGCACCGCATCCCCTTTCAAAACAATCACCGGAAACTTTTCCTGCGACAAAGCGGACACCAGAGGTCATCAAGTCCATCGCGGCTTGCTTCAAACTGTGTGTCTGTAACCCGTCACGGTCACTTCACACTGGGTACTAATCCGCAGATACGACCTACTTTTGGGTCACGTAATGTCTCGACAGGGATATATGACAGCTTATGTGCTTACATACCTTCCATACAGGTGTTGTCTAAATACAGACATACAGACAGACAGATATTTTATTAAAGTCTCAGCGCAACATTTGATACATAAAATTATACAGTCTTTAAACAAAGTTGAGCCATTCTATGCGGAATTACAAGAGATTATTATGCATAAAACAAAACAAACTATGAACTGGGTATACGATAAAAGCGGAAACAATAAAAAATATTAAGTAGGAATATACAAATTGGCAGCACTTTTTTTTAGGATATGAAAAGTTTTGGCAGTTAAAAAGGCCAGTTCAGGGTACGAGAGTAGAGAAACAATTTTTTTTCAGCTCCTAGGGGAGCTGCACACATTTAAAAAGGGCTAGGGCCATATTATAATTTACAGACAATTCACAGTCAAATTTATTGTTTTCTAAATACACTACTTCTCGGGAGGAAAAGATCAATTTAGCCTATCTCAGATTGCTGGAAGGCCTTCCCATGAAATCAGCAACATATATCATG